AATTTTGGGTTGAAGTAGTTTTTTAACATACGGTCATACCCATTTCAAGTCAAAAGTCCAGGATAATAGGTGCTAAACCAACCCGTATAATTAAACCCCCATTTCAGAACTAGACCTAGTAATGAATTAAACCCACGAAAAACTTTAGAAATTACTTAACAAATTATGATATATATATATATATATATATATATATATCTCCTGTCATATTAAAAAAAAACTCAATACTTCATACCATGAGGAAAAAAAATCATAGTTCTAAAACGGTTATACTTAGCATCAAAGCACTACATATATACACCGAAACTTTTGAAATAAACTTATCTAGTTCTAAAATAAACTTACAACATGTACTATCCAAAAAAAAGAATATTAGTTGTTTTTTTTGTATGATATGTTAATTTTAAAACTTTGTGTATATCAGTTTTTTTTTTTTAAGGATTTGATTTTTTTCATATTATAGGAGATAATTTTATCTCCTACACACACATATATAAGTATGTGGAGTCCATACAGGAGCATGTGAAGAGAGAAAAAAGAAAAAAAAAATATGGACCCAACATAATTTTACATGTTCGTAGGAGATAATTTTATCTCTTACAACATGAGAGATTTTAAACCACTTTTTTTAATTGCACTTGACTTTTTTAATTTATTTTGTTGCCCGTTGTCATCTTAATTCATTAAAACATAAATACACTAATACTTATTTACTTTAAAGATAGACTTATTTTTTCAAAAAAAGAAGAAGAAGAAGAAGAAGTTGTTATTTTAAGCAAGAGATTTCAAGATTACTCTTATTCTGCAAGTTTGTAAAAAAATCAAAATGAGCACCCGGGAGCTAAAGGTGAAGCTTGAATCCAAATGTGAGGAGTGACCATTTTTGGTTTCGTAATATGATTTAATGGAGTATTCCGTTACATAGTCGTAATTTAAAAACAAACTTGCAATAAACAACCATATCAGCAATATTGGAGCAAATGTGGTTCTTTATTTTATTTTATATTTTAAATACTTTATTCAAAAAGAAGTATAGACGTCCAAGTTAGCACAAATTTTTATCATTAAAAACCCGAATTCATAACATTTTCCCCCGTTTTTCTCTATTATAAAATTTATCTGCGCTTAAAATGATCCTTTTTCATTGTGGGTTAAACAATACGGATGTGCATGATAATTATTTTCTATTATCACTGGAGAGAATATGTATTTAATAAATAATGTATTTAATGAGTTTTGTGTATTTAATCCCAATAACTTATATTATGATATATGCATTTAGTAAATAGTATGTTCAGAAATAAAAAAACAAAAAATAATATATATATTTCCGATAATTTGAATTCCTGGAGTACTATTTTCAAGCATTTCTACTCCCATATTAAAAAATAATAATAATAAGAACATTGTCATAAATACCTTAAGTAATTGAGACATCCTAGGCGGCTAGGATACAAGAAGGAATATGCCTTATAGCTAGCCAAGCATATGTGGTTGTGATGCTTTTCGGTGAAAGTCAGTCTGCTGAGTTCTTCTCTTAAATATTTTTGATTGATAGCCACTTGGATATATATATATATATATATATATAGATTACTAAATTATAATCATATAAAGATGAATCAATGGTGATAAAGGAAGAGAAAAAAAAATCATAACCATTCAAAGATGAATCAATTAATATAAGAAAATAAATAAACAAAACGACATAATTTTGGAATGGCCAGAAATATGTTTTATATATATATATATATATATATATATATATATATATATATATCTTATGTGGAGTCACGTAAAAAAAGAAAAAAATATTTAAATCTTATTTATATATATATATATATATATATATAGGGAAAAAGAATTCTCATGTTGTAGGAGAACTCTTTCTCATGTTAGTGAGAGTTCGTTTTGCGTGCAATAATTTTTTTTGTTTTCTTTCTTTTTTATGTGTGGGCCCCACTATGAATTTAAGTGTGTAGGAAACTTTCCTCCTCTCCAATAACATGAGAAATGCATTGCCCATATATATATATATATGAGTTTTATTTTTTTCATGTTACAACACACAAAAAAGTGAGTGAAACTCACTTTTTTTATTTTCTCTCTCTTTTTTTAGTGAGTCCCACTCACTTTTTTGTATGTTACATGAGACAATTTGTCTCATGTAACATGAAAAAAATAAAACCATATATATATATAAGTAAGAAATAAAAATATCTCCTGTAATATAAGTGGTTTCATTGTACAATTGTAAAAAAAAAGGAAGCAATAATTGAACAAACTAATAATGGATAAGAAGGCGAAAATAAGTCAATTGTCAAAATGAATGTGTGGAAGAGTTCAAAAGTCTACATACAAAACACGTCATCACATGTAAGAGCTTGTCAAGCACAGGCTGCACAGCTACTTCAATGCAAGACCAATACCAAGTTGAATAACTAAATCCCACCACACTAGTAATTAAAAACGATTTAATAATAACAATCTGTGCTGATTTTGCAATAATAACATGGATCGCTTTTTTCTCAATGCAAGAAGTTGAAATTCTTGTGAAAATTATATATTTAAGGGAGTATATAATTATAATATAAGAAAAATTATTTTTTAATGTTATAATTGGATATTTCTCAAAATACATAATTATAAGATATATGAAAAAAAACTTTAATATTATAATAATATATACTCCAAAACATATAATTTACGGGAGACTTCAAATTCCTATAACACGAGAGTGTATCATCTCTAATAATATATGGGATGATTAAGAATTGCAATAGGGGACTTGGCTTTTATGGGGTCCATGCTGTAGCAGTTCACATTGATTGAGCAAGATATATCTATCATAAACACTTAATCATCATTTTATATATATAAGATTATATAAATAATGTAATAAACATATTTATGATTAGAGATGGCAAAATATGTCATAACCTCATGTCGTGAGATAAAATAAGTTGTGTGTGGATTTTGATAAATGATATGAGGGGAAATATTATTCTTATGTAATATAAGATGATATCTCTTTCCGACACGTTCATTGATTTTCGTATAGTTTAATTTTTGTTTTTTTGTTTTTTATTAGTGGATGGACTCAACCCATGATTGTTTCTATGATAGGAGAGAACTACTCTCCTATAACATAAGATTAATAAAGTCCTGATATGAATTAGTTTCATACCGTATCACGAGTTAACTCATGTGACCCACATGTCAACCAGTAAGTTTTTTTATCAAAAAAATAAAAACAAAAATGTTGATATTTTAGTTATTTTTACATATCTCATTACAAGTTATGGATCAACTCACATATTTATTCATTTTTTTCCTTTTATTTTTATTTAAAAAAATCAGATTATCAATTTTTTACATATCAATCCATGTGACCCGCAACTCGCCGCGAGCTGTGTCCGGATATTAATTCTTGATCCATGAGCAAAAATGAATCGTGTACATGTTGAATAATTTGAACCCCAAGTCATACTTGACAATTGACATGATATGAATCGATCCACGGACACATTTTGTGACTATGACTTTTATTTTTATATTTAGGGAGAGGGGGGAACCCACCCCATCTATGTATGATAAATCGTGTTTTTACACTTGTCGATAATGACCTGCTAGCTACCGAAGAAGTACTCTTATGTTTCATCCTCGTATTTATTATTCACAAACCAAGCCGTGCCGATTTGTCACTCTATAAATAAAGACTAGTTGAAACAGCAACACACAAACCGGGATCGAATTAATTTTAGACAGAAAAATGAGGTCTCTTAGTCTGATAGCGACAGCTATTTGCTGTGTAGTGGTTGTGCTTGGAGGACTACCCATCTCCTCAGATGCACAGCTAGATCCCTCGTTTTACTTGAAAACTTGTCCTCAGGTTCATTCAATTGTTGTTGGAATTTTAAGTGGTGTTTCTACAAAAGATCCACGTATGCTTGCAAGTCTCGTCAGGCTTCACTTTCATGACTGTTTTGTTCAAGTATGTATACTTGCGTATTCATCACTTTCCCCCAAGTTTTGTCTCAGCTCTTTTTGTTTTTGTTTTTTTTCCTTGTCTTGTCATGTTAATTCTTTCATTCTTCTATTACTCAAAAACCCATCTTCTGTTTTGCTTTCTAACAACGTGTTTGATTTTTATTTTATTTTTCTTGGAACCTAAAGTTATAATTTTGGCAAAAGTTAGGAAAGTGTCCAAACTACGTTTCGAAGTTTTTCAAGTAAAAAACAAACATGCACAAAATTTTGTTATGATGGTAATTTTACAACTCAATCATTTGAAAAGACTCGTCACATTATCATAATTGTGTCTTTCAACAGATTTTATGTCGGTGCATGCATTAATACTCAACCAGTCTCTCGGACCCATGGGAGCGACTCTTCCAATTGTGTCTTTCAAAAGATTTTATGTCGGTACATGCATTAATACTCAACCAGTCTCTCGGACCCATCGGAGCATATATATATATATATATATATATATATATATGGGATAGGACATATACACCGGTGTAAAACTAATAAATCTTACACCAAATCCTAACTATTGATTTTCGTGCATCCAACGGTTGAGATTTATTGGAAATTAAAAATTAATTAATGAGTGAGACCTAATAAATCTTAACAGTTAGATGCAGAAAATTAATGGTTAAGATTTGGTGTAAGACTTATTATTTTAACACCGGTATAAGATGATCCTACCTCTATAAATATATATATGGAAAAAATGAAAATTCAGTCACTGGACCGTCCAGTGCACTAAGTTTTCCCGCGAGAACTTAGTGCACTAAATATTATATGGTGTTCTCCATATGTTCTCCTCCTGGGAGAACATAGTTATAAAATTTACTGTGTTCTCGCGGGAGAACTTAGGGCACTGGACGAATTTTTACATCCAATCAGTGTACACTCACTGAACTCTCTTATATATATATATATATCTTGACCATATATATTGCAATTAATATTGACCATTGATTTTTCACATTTACTATTTTCATCTATTACGTTTATTGTTTTTATTCATTATTATATGATTATAATTCTCTAAATTTAATTGTTATATATACAGCAGCTCAAAAATACCAATTGTTATACATTTATTACTCTACTAACGGAACCACTTTCACACTCAACCATTGAAATTGGAGGTTTTACAAAGGGAATAAAAATGGTGAAAACATTTTTGGTACCCTTAAAAGTAATTTTGTGCTCTATAACCAATTAATGGGTATCATGTAATTAAATGCATGCGTTCGTAAAAGGGAGCTTTTTGTTAGTCAATAAAATCCCACATCTGCACGTCCTCATCTTATGTCAAAGTAAAAGTAAAAAGATTTGGAAAGTCGAAAAATTCCATTGGGAACTAATAAAATATTAAAGAAGAGAAATTGATGTATCCAAAAAAAGAAGAGAAAATGATTCTTACTTTTAGTTCATACATAGTTGTTCCATGCTTGTGACGTGTACAGGGCTGTGATGCATCAATTTTGTTGAACAACACTGCTACGATAGTGAGCGAGCAACAAGCATTGCCAAATAACAACTCAATAAGGGGTTTGGATGTTGTGAACCAAATTAAGACAGCGGTGGAAAATTCTTGTCCCGGCGTAGTTTCTTGCGCTGATATTCTTGCCCTTGCTGCTTCAGTATCTTCTGCTCTGGTATGTCCAATCTTATATTATAACATAGCATTCTCATTTGATGCTATATGGTTCAAAAACGAAACCAAAAAAAAAAAAAAAGTTTTGGGGCAAAATAAGACTGTTTTCAAAAAGAACTACTTAAGTTTTTAACTTCAAAAGTTGATTTAATTTTAGAAAATCTATGAATAACATTTAAAAAACGATAGCAATAGTTACATTCTTTAAACATAATAAATAATGGGTTTTAGTTTTATCCTTTAACATAACACAACTAACTTTCCTACCCTCACAATATTTTGTGGGGCCCACATTTTTTAAAACAAAAAAATAAATAAAAAATTAAGGCACGCAAAACGAATCTCTATAACATTACACAATCATTTTTCTTACAATATAACTCTTATAAAACCCATAAATAATATATTGTTGGTCTTACTTTTCAGGCTCAAGGTCCTTTTTGGGTAGTTCCATTGGGAAGAAGGGATAGTTTAACAGCCAACCGAACCCTTGCAAATCAAAACCTTCCAGCTCCTTTCTTCAACCTAACTACACTTAAATCCTCCTTTGCTGTTCAAGGTCTCGACACTAATGATCTAGTTACACTCTCAGGTACGAAATATTTTTCAATTAATATTAGGGGAAGGTTATACTTACTATCTTTTTTTTTAACTACTTCTTACTACCAAATCTTA